CCGACAAGCTGGCATGTACACAGGCGCGCCGGGAGGGATTCCTCCCGGTGGTGTGACCTCGGCCTCTCTAGGCCGAGGGGGATTGAAAAAAAAAACATTTGGCGTGCAGGCACACACGCCAACCTGCAGGGTATACCCCCTGCAGGCAAGTGGTGTGCCTGCCTGCACGCCATTCTGCAATGGCGTGCAGGCGCACACACCAATCTGCAGCTGGCGTGCGCCATGGCGGTTGGCGTGCGCTTATCAACCCCCCAAATGAAGAGGAAAAACAAAGCTCCCTATATTAAAGATTCTGGGGAGAGTTCAGATTGTGGTTGGAAGATATGTGTAAATCCTATGAAGAGCATGAAACAAGAGAAAATATTTATTCAGAGAGGAGGGGGGAACAAGTAGTGGGAGTAAAATATCTCAAGGTTACTGATATGAAACATATGAGGGGGGATATTTGATGGAAGGAGATAGGAGGAAAGAAGGGTTTCATTGTTCAAGGGGATTTGTAATAGTGTGGAAAACAAAGGGGTAAGAAGAAAGGATTTTTTTTGGAGGGGAAGAGTTTCTGATTGGGAATTATTATCATTCATGTGATCTGTCTTGTGCACAAGTGGATGATTGGTGTTTGGGTTTGTTTGAGGGTCTGGGGAATTCCCAAGAAGTATTTATCTTTTGATTCTTCTGTGATTTTTACTCTTGATGTGCTTGAAGCAACGGTATTGGCTTACCACACCAGAAGGAACACCTTCCAGTCAGTGAGCAACGGTGGGCTGCTACACTATGCTGCGCTAAAAGCCCACTAACGTTAGTGTAGCAGCCCTCAAAACAGCGCGCCAAACCTGTAGTGTTAGTGCACTACACTACGCTATGCTGCGCTACAGCACTTTTAGTGGCAAAAACAGCCTAAAAACTGCTAAAATGCGCTACAGCGCAGCGTAGTGGGCCCTTTTTTGCGGCCCACACATGTAGTGTTAGCTGTGTTGTGGCGGAATTCCGCTGCACTATGCTTAACATTAGCGGGAATTCCTCTACTTCACACTACACTAACCGCTACAGTTAGCGTAGCGGCCCACCGTTTCAGTGAGGTAGCTTGACCTCACTGATGGGAGGGAATTTCTTTACACTGCCAGATGTGCCCACTGCAGCAAGACTTTTGTCAAGTTTGAGTCAAGCCTAAGTGAGTCAAATTTCAAACCCAAGCAGTGGTGTAGTGCTTCAGTACACCCTAGAATTTTAGTTCAGCCATTCTACTTGTATCAGATAGGATGAAGTTTGTATGTAGGCAATTGAGGTTCATGTATCCCTGAGTAAAGTTTTTGTTGAGTGTACCAACTAGGGATGACAGCACCACCTTTTTGATAGGTGCTTGCCTAGGGGTGCCAGCCAGACTGCAAAAGCATGGTGCCTTTGGCTGGTGGTGCCCCGGCAAGCTGGGTGCCAGCTATAAAGTTCTTTTTATCCATCTTTTTTTGGTTTGTCTTGAGTACATCCGCCAGATGATGCCTGAAGCCCCCAGGACCACCATCCTCCAGTAGAGGGTTGAAAGATAAGTTCCAAACTGGAGTGACTTGTAGCAACGGTGGGCCGCTACGCTACGCTACGCTAAATGGCCATTTAGCGTTAGCGTAGCTGCTGTTGCAGCAACCTTTTTTTGTGTAGTGTTAGTTTGCGCTACAGCCCACTACACTACGCTAACTGTTAGCGGCGCTAACAACACACCTTTTTTTGGGTAGTGTTAGTGCACCGCTACAGCCACTACGCTACAGGGCTGTTAGCGGCAAAAAAGGCCAAAAAACCGCTAAAAAGCGCTGTAGCTTGGTGTAGCGGACGCTGTGGAAAGCACGGCGCGCCCTAGGAGTTTTCTTGCACTTCTCCGCTCCGCAACGCGTCCTACTCCGGTTTTGTTGTCCGGGGTAACTTGCTTGATGGTCTTGTAGGTAGGTAAACTAGTTCTCTTTTATTGATCTTTTGTAGGTAATACACTAACTCTACTCTATCTCTAACAATTCTTTAGGCTAATCCACGATTCACTCCTAAGTCACTCTGTTTTTCTGATATGTTCTGAGTCCCCTCCCCCCCCTCTCTCTCCTCTTCTGCCTCGAACTCCTCTCCTCCTAGGTATCCCACACTCCAGTCCCTTCCTACTTCCCGCGATGTCATCCGCTGTCACCCCCTCGGACTCCGCATGTCACCCCTCCGACGCCTGTCGGTCCAAGTACTCCTCCGGCCGCTCCTAAGCAGGTCTCCCACCGCCGCTTCTGCCTCTGGTCCGCTCCGAACCCCGCTTCTGCCCCTCGGTGCTCCCCGCTCTTTGTAGCCTCTCCGCAGTATACACTGAACCCCCGTTCCGCAGTCGGCCGTGATCCCCGGCGTCCGCCGATGCCCGAATTCCCCGCAGTAAGCTTTTCAGAACCTTGTGCATTCGGTCTACCTTTCTCCGCTTTCCCGCGCCTCGGAAAGCTAGACTTTCCACTAATGCACGGCCGCTTTCCTCAGCCTGCTTGTGTAGCGTCAGCTCCGCGTGCTTTCCGCATCAGCGCCGCGAGCATTCCGCATGCCCCAAACAAACCGGCCAAAGCTTTGGCCAAGGCGCGCTCCCGCCACCACATCCCCCCAACGCTTAAAATCCTGTCCCCAGGATCCTCTTCTCCCCAACTTCCTTCCCATTCCCCCGTCTTCCCACCATGTCCACCTGCTCCAACTGTCAAAGCCGTAACGCTACGTGCATCCGCGAGTCCTCGAACCATGCGTGTGACTTCTGTCGCAAAGCCAAACGCCGCTGCTCTCTAGTCCAGCATCCGTCCGACCGATCTCGTCGCCGCACCCGCACTAACAGTCCTAATTC